GGTTTCCATGGCAACACAAGTGTGACAGTTGAGGGTATTTGGGCATCGGTGAGATAACTGTCAGGTTCCATGGGGAGAGGGGAAATGAAGTTTTCTTTGTTTCTTTTTGCCTCCCAGCAATGCCCCTCCAAAGGTAGAAAGAGCCTCAAGTGTCAGCATACAGTGTTAAGTTTCCACTATCTTACAGATTTATGGCTCTTGAGGAAAATTCAATTTCATTTTATCTCATTTTCATTCTTTCTCACAAACAAATGAATGGAGACATCCTTTTTATTTCTAAAATGGCTCTCAGGATAGAGCATGGAGACATAGGAATGAAGACGTTCAGAAGACAGACACTCACTGTAGCACTATAGTACTGTTGTTCATCGATTTGCTTGAGCGGGCACCAGTAACATCTCACAAGAAATTGTGAGACTTGTTGTTACTGTTTTTGGCATATCGAATACACTACAGTAGCTTGCCAGGCTCTGCGGTGCAGGTGAGACTCTCTTGGTAGCTTGCCAGGCTGTCCAAGAGGGGCGGAAGAATCGAACCCAGGTTGGCAGCATGCAAGGGCAAACGCCCTACCCTCTGTGCTATCGTGACAGACACTCAGCTCCCTCTCAAATTGTCAAAATTCTCTACACATGTGGACAGCCTTCTTTTAGCAGCAGCTAACCTGTCAATCAGCATATACTGTGAAACCTCTACTCAGTTAAGTATCATCATCCTAGAGACAACAGGTCAGAAATCATTTTTCTTTTTCCTGTTGGGAGTTAAAAGTCTACCCTTGTGGTACCGAGAACTGAGGACCAGCAAATAGGAAAACCTAAATGAAGTGCAGCTTCCCAAGGGTCATTGTATTTGTATTTCTTATTTTAAGACTTCAGCACTGGTGGGAATACTGACTGGTCCAGCCTTTTTGGAAGACAATATGGGCATTCGTCAAAAATCTAGAAATTGAGTTTCCATACAACCCAGCAATACTGCTCTTGGGAATATACTCTAGGTGCCCAAAGACACAATGCAGAAAAGCCATCTGTTTTTCTGTGTTTATTACAGCACTGTTCACAATAACCATTATCTGGAAACAACCCAAACGCCCAAGAACATATGATTGGATAAAGAAACGATGATACAACTACACAATGGAACACTATACAGCCATTAGGTAAAATGAATTCACGCAATGTGTTTATTCATGGATGGACTAGAGTGCATTATGATGAGTGAAATGAGTCAGAGGGAGAGAAACAGACATAGAACGATTGCACTCATTTGTGGTATTAAAAAACAAATGAGCATAGTATGAGTTTCATATCCAAAGACAGTAGGAAAGAGGGCCAGGAGAACTGGCCCATGTAGGAAGTATGCCACAAGTGCATGTGTGTGTGTGTGTGTGTGTGTGTGTGTGTGTGTGTATGTTGTTGTGGCGGGGTTGGGGGTTGGAGGTTGTAGAGTGCAGTTAGGGCAGAGAAGTGACCACTATGACAGTGATAGTTGGAAATGATCACTCTGGAAAAGAACTGAGTGCTGAAAGGAGGTAAAGTGATATGCATGATAACCTTTCAGTACCTATATTTGCAGACCACAATGCCTAAAAGGAGAGAGTGAGAGAATGAGAGAGTGAGATAGCAAGAACAAGCAAGAGAGAACAAGAAGGGAGGGTGGGAAAGAGAGGGGAGGAGTGTCTGCCACGGAAGTAGGTTTGGGGTGTTGGGAGGGAAGCTGGGGACATTGCATTGGTGATGGGAAATATGCACTGGTGAAGAGATGGATGTTGGAACACTGTGTGACTGAAGCTCAATCATGAATAGCTTTGTAACAACTTTGTATCACAGTGATATAAGTAAAAAAAAAAGTCATCACTGAAGAAACATTAGGGAACACAGCCCTAGAAATTTCTAGAAGCTCTCCAACTCTCTGTTATGCTTGCTGGAATAACTAGGAAGCCCACTGTGTGTGTGTGTGTGTGTGTGTGTGTGTGTGTGTGTGTGTGTGTGTGTGTGTGCTTTCCTATCACAATATTCTCCAATATAGAGTTTCTCAATTTCTGGGGACCTGGGAAATAAAAACAGTTGTTTTAGGTTACATTTGGGACCCACAAACCTGGTGCAAATTTCCTTTAAAAAAGTCACTGAACCTCTAATCCTTGCAAAGTGAATGCTTTTTCCAGTAATACAAGATTTTCCTCAGGCTATAAGGAACGAGACAAAGACAGAAAGTGTTATTCTCTCGCCTCTATTTAATTCCCAACAAACTTGGTATTTAACCCCCAACAAACTTAGGTACTTACCAGTACAATGCATGATTTTTTTCCCTTTTTGGCTACACTGGCAATGCTCAGGGTTTACTCCAAGTAATGCACTGAGGTCAACGCAGCTGGTGCTCAAGGGACCATATGCAACCCACGGATCAAAACAGATTCAGCTATGTGCAAGGCAAGTACCTAAATGTCTGGTCTGTCTCTTTGGCCTGTAAAGTGTATAATTTTAGACAGCCTGTCTTTCTTCTAAAAAGTCAAGTTGCTACAAATCTAAAGAAATTACCAATGGGCACATACACTGCACACAAAAGATGAACATTCTATTCACCCATAACATCCCCTTAAAACTTAAAACTTTAAACTTCCCTGTAGCACGGTTCAGTTACGATGCACCCTGGTGTTTGAACTCTCCACAGTTTCACAATGCTGGTTTAGCATGTGAGGTCAGAATCTCCTGGGCTCCAAATCACTTCAAATACCACTTTGATTCTTAGTTCCTCTAAGAATCTGCCTTCACTACTAGTTTCTGCCACTCAAAATCAACCTGGCATATTATGATGATGTGTAACGCAGAAATAATGACTGAATTATGATCTGCTAAGCATTCTGACTGGGAACTCACCCTCAATTAAGTTTTTGCTTAATTACTTTAAGCAAAAATTTGTGATCTCTGTAAAACAGATAAAGTAAGATAAAGTAAACCAGTAAATGTAAGCTACCTATTCTAACAATGGAGTGGTAGGGAAGTAGGCCACTCCAAAACTGGAGTCTGTCTTTGCAGTGGCTTGATAGTCTCTTCCACACCCCCCAAAAAGTAGCTTAAAAATGCCTAATTTGGTTCGAGAAATTCATATCCAAATGATCATGAGAGGAAGAAGGAAGTAAAGGTAGACCAGGATAGAATACCAAAACCACAGAAGAGTATGATACCCATAAAATATAAGGCATGATATGGAGAAGGAATAAATATAAGTAAATCTAATAACGAGTTATAGCACACATATCTAAGCATATCTAAGTACTAATTTCTTTCTTTTTCTAAAATAATGTTTTTGGAGGCTCGCATCTAGGTCCCACGCAAGTGCCACAGTATGTATGTCTTTTTAAGGCCGGGGCATTTTTCTCAGCTTAACGACAAAACTCCCTGTTTTCTGGATTCATCCTGTAACCTTAAGCACCGTACCCATCTTTTTGGCAGAATGCCTGGCAAACGACATTAAAAGCGATTTCATCACCCTCGCCCGGTTCCTTTGCCTGCACAGGCCACAACCGCCCGCACTCCTAACCCTAACCCCGCCCAAACCCCACCAATCTGGGTCCGGTCTCCGTACCACCGGCAGCAAAGAAATCGCGAGTTCTGATTGGCTCAGCGCAAGTACGTCATCGCCAAACTCACCTACCATTGGTTGGCAAGAGAGAGCGAGCGACCGCAGAAGCCAACGCCCAGCCTGGCCCGGCTTTAAGGGAGGGGGTTGGCCTAACATGAGCCTCGACCTTTTCGCATTGGCTGAGGACTACATCACGTGGTACAAAGTAGCGTCCTATTGGCTAGAAGGACTCCGAGCTGTGGCCTGGTAGGCTGGAACGAACCGCAGCTTTCTCCCAGCCACTTCCAGTGCACTGTTGCTAAGAGCTGCCCCAGGGCCTCGGGGCGGTTCCGTTCTCCCAGTTTTCCAGGTTCCCGGAGCTTGACGGGGCGTGGGAAGAGCTCCGGGAGGCGGAGCGAGGAGGGTAGGTGGGCGGGACGCCAAGCGACGTGCTCCGGCGCGGGGCCGGCGGCGCCCCGTGGTCGCTGTCCATTCGCGCCTTCACAGCCCTGCATCGACTAAAAAAAATAAATTAAAAAAAAATAAAGCAGCTTCTTCGCCTTGGCTCTCTTTCCCGAAGCTGCTTCCCGTAACGTGTTAGCCCAGACTCACACACAAAAAATAATCCGAACTGCGGGCGGCAGTGCTGCCCGACGGGGTGGTGCCGAGCCAAGTCGCTCAGCAATAGATCAAAGATTTGGGGTGGGCGGGGGTGGGATCATGCCCATCTCTTCTTTCCCCTCTCGGCCGCAGGTGAAGCCCGGAGGGTGCGCCCTCTCTCCGCCCTCCCTAAACATCTGATCTCCGCCAAATCCGAGCGTGGGATTCTCGGCTGGACACGCTTCCCGTCGCCGGCGGGCGCACTGCGCTTGCGCAGGCCGCAGGCCGCAGGGCCCCCGGGTTGGGGGGGGAGGGTGTGGGGGTGTCGCTGGGTGGCCCAGCGGTGGTGGTTTGTGTGTGTGTGTGTGTGTGTGTGTGTGCGCGCGCGCGCGTGTAGCAGGGGACTGTGGATAGCAGCGCGCGGGGTAAGGGGGCCCGCAGTGTCCGCGCGCGCGCGCGCGCGTGCCCGGTCTCCGAGGCAACGGTCGCCCGGGGAGGGGCCGTAAGGGAAGCCCCGCCCCACGCCGCCGGGCCCCGCCCAGCGTCGCCCAGGCAACGCGCTCCTGCGGGGGCGGGGCCGGCAGAGAAAGCCCCGCCCCGCGCCGCCGCCGGGCCCCGCCCCCCGCCCGGGAGCGCTGCGGCGGGGGCTCGGGCGCGCGCTCGGCGGCGGCAGCGGCGGCGGCGCGGCGGGCGGGGCCGCTGGGCGTGGAGGCGCGAGGGGCGGGCCCGGCGGGCGGCACTGCGGGCCCGCGGCTCGGGCGGCGGCGGCGGCGGCTCCCGCTCTCGGCGCCCGTGCGGCCGCATCGCCGGCCGGCTCGGCCCATGCCCAGCGGCGCTGCGGGGGCGGCGTGCGCCCGGGGGCGGGGGCGGCCGCGGGCCGCGGCTGGGCTCGGGTGGGCGGCGGCGGCGTAGGAGGACGGCGAGGAGGAGGTCTATGTCGCGGGCGGCGGCCGAGGGACGATGCGCGAGTACAAAGTGGTGGTGCTGGGCTCGGGCGGGGTCGGCAAGTCCGCCCTGACCGTGCAGTTCGTGACGGGCACGTTCATCGAGAAATACGACCCCACCATCGAGGACTTCTACCGCAAGGAGATCGAGGTGGACTCGTCACCGTCCGTGCTGGAGATCCTCGACACGGCGGGCACCGAGCAGTTCGCGTCCATGCGGGACCTGTACATCAAGAACGGCCAGGGCTTCATCCTCGTCTACAGCCTGGTCAACCAGCAGAGCTTCCAGGACATCAAGCCCATGCGCGACCAGATCATCCGCGTGAAGCGGTGAGCGGGGGGGTGGGGGGGGCGCGAGAGGCGCGGGGGTCGCGGGGCAGCCAGCCCGGGAGTCCCGCGCCGCGCCGCGCCGCGCCGTGCGTGGGTCCGTCCGGGGTCCGTGCGTCTGTCCTGTTCGTTGGGTGCTTTCGGGTCGGGCCGGCCCTTGCATCCTCAGCCCTGTCGGGGCTTGGGGTGGGCTGGGGTGGGGGTGGGGGGTGGGAATCTCCCAAATTTTAAGGGCTTTTGTTTTCCCCCCAACTGGAATTTGGCATCCCGGGAACCCGCAGCCCGGGCCCTTTGTCTCCGGGATATTATTAGTAGCGCTGCTTGCGGAACCCCCCGAAGGAAACAAAGTTTCAAACTTGCGGGCGGGGAGGGGGAGGGTAGGGGTGGGGGAGGCCGGGAGAGAGGTGGAAACAGTTGCAGGAGGAACCCAAGGGGAGGAGACAGAAAAAAAAACCCCACCGCAACCAGCTACCTTGGCAGTGTTTGAGCTGAAATAGAAAATAAAATCCAAGCTCACCCGTGTAGCGGAAAAAAATTGCCCCCCTCCCCCACTCCCAAGTCCAGAGGAAAAGCGACTTTCCTCTGTCTACTTAAAGGTTGGTCACGAGGCGTTTGACAAAAACCAGCGCTTGGATTCAGATGAAACTTTATAAAGATATTACCAAATTATTTAAAGAGAGTTTGGTGGGATGGAGAGACTATTAGCAGTGAGAGGCACTGATCTGTCACTCACATAAAAAATAAATATGTGGTTTTTAACTTACTTTAATCTGGTGGCAAAAATCCCTTCCCTTCTCCCCCACCCCCCTCGGGGAGAATAAGTGGGAGGGAAAGATGGCATTCCTGGAAACAAAACAAGTTTCTCCAAAGGTGTGACTCAGGTATTAGCTAATTTAAAGTTAATGCACATAAACTCTTGGTGCACTCTTAAGCTAAAACATGCGTTTTGGAAATAGGGTTTAAGTGAATGAAAGTGCAATTTCAAGCATTGAGGTCTTGATAAAAGTCTCGGCAGATTCTTTTTTTTTTTTAATTGCCATTGCCTCCCCCCCCCAAAAAAAAAAGTATTTTGTGTTTTGTCTGGTTCTTATCATTAGCTACTAATTGCGACTCGTTTTCCTTTTCCTTCCTAAGTCCGCCCATAGCCCTCAAATGGAAGCCGTTTATTGAAAGGTAGCAGTAAGTGTAATGTGGACACAATCACTTTATATTTCAGGTTTGAGTCTGCTTATTTTGAAAGCAAAGATCAGGTCACATGTTCTCAAATACTGCTCAGAAATTCATTGCACGTGGTGGATTTTAATGCAACATGTGAGATCAAAAGGGAGGTTCTGTCCTCATGCTCCCCCCCCCCCCCCACACACCTCCTTGTGCTGTTAATAGCTACGCTGAAATTTTGTATGCTGTTTCTTCCATTAAATTTCAAAGTGGAATAAAGTAAATATTTTCATGGCCTCTGTTCCTGTCCTAATATTTGTGAATCTAATATTTCACAATTTTTCCTTAAAAGTTAATTTCTTATATTTGAACAAATGAATCATTTTGGTGTTAAGCTTAATATGGACATTGTATTTTTAGGGGTCTAGTGATTAAGTAGTAAAATTCTTATTGCTTCCTCCTACCCTTTACCACTCCCCAAACAACTCCAGGACAAAGCAGTTTTATGCCTAATGACATAGAGACCTTATCTCTTGTAAGTATATTTAAATGTAGATATATAGTCTTGTAATAAACTCATGTATCCTTGGGGCAGACTCTGGTTCAGAACATGGCAGAATACTGCTCGATTGTACAAGTCCAAATGTGTTGGTTTGTAATGCTTTGTTTGCCCTCTGACCCAGGAAGGAAAAAGTAAAATTCACTAGTTCAGACATAATTCTCCTGACTAGTCTCAGTTCTTGATTTGTAACTATCATTGATAAACTAAAGAGATCATAAATTCTTTTCACTGGAATTCACCCCATTGATTTCTTTTTAGTCCTTAACCTCTCATCTTACCAGTCATCTTCCACTGGACGAAAGAGATCTGTGGCTAGTACGTTCATATGTCATGGTAAAGTTTGCACTGAAGTTCTGTTTTGTTTATTTGTTCGGGGGCCACATCCAGCAGTGCTCTGGGCTTACTCCCGGCTCTGCACTCAGGGATCACTCCTTGGCAGGCTTAGGGGGACCATATGGGATGCTGGGGGTCGAACCTGTGTTGGCCACATCTGTGGCAAGCAGCTTACTGCTGGACTGGCACTCCTAAAGGTATTAACTCCTCCCACTTGAAAAAGAATAAAACATGTTTTAATTCAACATGTATTCAGATACTTGGATTTTCTACCCTTTCAAGGGATCAAGTAAAAGAGAAAGTACCAGGTGTATATAAGAGCGATGCAGTAGTTTTTTTTCCCTTCTGCCTTCTACTAAAGTTGTTTGAGGTCTTTGTCATCACCAAAGTGCACAGGGCTTGAAGTAGGGCAGTGGTTTGGAGCATTGGCCCATGGAGAGGGTATTTCAGCTGGGATTGGTGTGAAGCCATGTGCTCTGCCTTCGCTCCCAGGGTGCCTTTCAACTTGGGGGTCGCTAGCCCCTTGAGTCCCTCACCTCATATCGGCTAAGACAGAACGACTCATAACAAATAGCATGGACCCTGCTTGTGTAAATTAAAATTTTCTAGTAGCTGATTTTCAAAAAAGTACGATGTGTAAAATCACCTTAATGTTTGTGGTATGAACTCAGTGTGTCATCAGTATTCAAAGGTTATTATGGAGACATTTTACTTTTTTCATTCTAAGTTTTCAGCATTTTGGTGTCCCGCGTAAAGCCCATCTTCGTTTAGAGCCATACTGGTTCAAGGGCTTAGTCGTCAAGTTGCCCTTGGGGTAGCACAGGCTGTGTGTGTGTCGGGGGAAATGCGTATTTCCGGATGCCTCGGTTCCCTGAGCCACACTGGAGTTTGATATGTACACCCCAGACTTTGTTACACTAACGTGAGAACACGTCCTTGAAGGTGCCTAATGCCATACCTTGAGCACTCTTAAAAATCCAGCTGTTGGGTGGACGAGGTAATATCAGGGTTAAGGCACTCACCTTTCATGCAGCCGACTGTGGTTGGATCCCTAGCACAGAATATGATCCTCTGAGCCCTGCCGGAAGTGACCTCTGAGCATAGAGCCAGGAGTGAGCCCTGAGCACCTCTGAATGTGGCCCAACCCTGCCCCACCCACAAACAGAACATAACAATCTCTATCTTAAGAGTTGTTTTTGTATTAATAATAACTTTGTCCACCTCCCTTTTTTTTTTTAAAGTTTTGTCTTGGCTGTGAATGCAATTCTAAAAGAAATGAGCTTATAGACTGCATTTTGAACTTTTAATTCAGCAGACAAGATTAACACTAAAGCTATAAAGCAACCCTTGGAAGAGTTTTGTTGGGTATTCTGTTAAAATATCTTCCTATTAAGAGAAGGGTCAGGAAAATGAACCTTTGACTTCAAGGTTACTTGTATTGCATTGGCTAGATAGAGAGATGGAACTTTTCATTGGATCGTTACTGTGTGGTACTTTCCCTCTTTCAAATATTAAAACTGTCCATAGTCTGAAGTGTTTACAGGTGCACAGCCCCCTGTAAACACACACAAGCTCTGGTCAGAGTCAAGAGAATTCACTGAACAGGGCTGAGTTTATCAATTCATAATGTTTTCTTAAAACTTGGCTTTGGGTGAAATCACACCCCTAGACAGAATGCTTCAGGATACAGAAAATGTTTCCTTTGAAACAAAACTGGAATTGTTTCTGATTTCATAATTGCTGCTTTCACTCCTCCAGGGCAAGCCGTGGTCTTGACTTGAAGGATCTTGAAGCAGCCTCTCCAAAGACCTGTTGTTAGGATGGGGCCTGACCTTCCCGGACAGGGGTGCTCTGGTCTCCCCGCCTCCGCAGCCTGGCTTCTTGCACCCCTCCTCATCTCGTAGATTCTGACACCCAGACCTCCCTATGCTTAGGGCTGTGCCTGCCTTGGGCCTTCCTGCTCCTGCTCCCTCTCCTTTTTGCTGAGTTTATTCCCACTCCCTGGCTCCTGCTCGGCAGATTCCTTCCTCTTCCCAGGCTGAATGGGCGCCTTCCTGCTTCCCGACACTCCATGAGCCTCCTGCCACCCCCACCCCTTCTGCTCTTGGCCCTTCAGATGTTACAGTCACAAGATAGGATACTCGATGCTCCTACATGCTTTTTCTCCTCGCCCTCTTCAAAGTTGGTGTGTGGGAACATTGACAAGCAGTTGGTCTTTCTGACTAAGTCCCCATCCCATGTGGCTGTTGCAGTTTCTGGCGCATCAGAAAGAAACAGCGGGCATTTGCCTTGCACCTGACTGACCCAGGTTCGAATCCTGACATCCCACAGGGTCCTCCAAGCCTGCCAGGAATGATCCCTGAGCAAAGATCCAGGAGTAAGCCCAGAGCACCTCCGGGTGTGGCCCAAAAATTAAAAACAAAACAAAAAAACTCAAATCAGGAAAAATAAATGCTGGAGAAACTAGAATTAAAAGTATTTGAAAGTTAAAACTGGAGAAAACCGTTTGCAGTGTCTGTCTTCTGGATTGTTCTCTCCCAAGTTTTCACTGTCTCTGTGGAGGGGGAGATTATGTAAAGCTTACTTTGCAGATGGCCTGGCCAGTCTTGCTTCAGCCCTCACATTCTCTGAGAATAGTTAGGGTGACAAAAAGAGGTCAAGTTGACTAGGAACCTGAGAAAATCAAAGAGCACACTGTTTTCTGGGTGCCAGAAATGGCCCCAGAAATGTAGAGAGCATTTGTTGATTCTCAGTCCCGATGGGGGAGACTCGAATTCAGAGCAGTGCGGTGGAGGCCAGGTGAGAGACCGGGAGGGAGGCACCATCGAAGCTCAAGGACTGTACTCAGCCCTGGTCCTGGATCACATCTGTTGCTGGGAACGTAGGGAGGAGCCCAGTGGCTTTGTGACAGAGTTGGGGGAAGAGTTGTGAAATGTTGTGAGGCATCTAT